ATCACCCTTAGAATCAAAGATTTAGAGACTACATTTCTGGCTTCGGCTCGCACTCGATGAGTCGACGAAAAATCAAAAACACAACATCACCAAGGTGTGTTTACCGCTGAGGATATTGTCTCTTCAATCAATCAAGCTGTTGTTGTTGTTGTCTCGAAAGAACCAGTCAGTAAGAAGGAGCAGAAGAAGAAATTAGAAGAATGCAGAGAACTACTAGCAATTCAGGGGGTGCCGCCAAAGCCGAACTACAGCGTTTGTTGACAACGCCGCCTTCTGCTACTGCAGGCAATGCCAATCCATCCACGGTGGCCCATGCGGCTCTGGAACGGTTGCGAGATGCCGGCGACGAACACTACTTATTCCTACGGACCCTCCTGGAAATGACATCGGTACCATCACAACAACACCCCGATGACGAGTTGCTCTTGTTCCACTGCATTACGGGGTGTCGCCATGTCGTTCTGCATGGATGGCGGCGCTTTTCGACGGTCTTTATGAGTGGCCTTCGCGATTGGATGATGCTTTTGGGACATTCCTTCTTTGCACAGTCTTCCAGTAGTAGTAGGACACTCCAAGTGGCATGCTATACCACAAGTGTCGCTTTGTGGAAACGAGCCTGGCTGGAAATGGCTGCCAATGCCAATCAACCGCATCATCTGTCCTCAGCACCAGATGCCCAACAACAGGGTCTCTTGGCAGCCATGATGACACAACAACAACAATATCAATCCAACCACAACAACAACAATACACTTCCATTTTTACAGAGTCCACTGTTGCTCTTTCAATATTTAGAACACTCCATGGCCGCCATCACCACCACGGCCATTCCGGCCACCATGTTTCTACAAGCCCTTGTGGAAGAATTTGCCGGCACCAAATCCGGTGTCACCTACCAATTACCATTGGAATTTCATCGGCTGACACGAAAAGCATTTGAAAATAATACCAATCAATGTGGATTAAATGCCTGTCTGCATTTGGGAATGAAAACACTCTCTCAAATATTGCCCAGTCTATCCAACAATAGCAACGCCAACAATACTACTACTACAATTACCATTGCCCAAGGCACACTGCAAATCATTTGTGACATTTTGGGGTGGGAATTTGGAGATGCCTTTACGGCCACCGTCAGTTCCTCCTCGTCCACACTGGTACGACCTCCCAAAGAATGGAGTCAACATCATTTGACCACGCCGGCATTGGCACAAGCGCTCTGGGCAACTCATGCAGCCATCCGAGAACAGCATCGACCATTGGCACATTCCGTACGACAATTGCTCGTCTTGTTGGCATCGCTCGAAGGACCCATCTTTTCTACTAGCAGTGAACGCAAAGACTTTTTGGCGGCCGTCTTGCAAGGGACATTGGAACTCTTGCAAGTACAAGTCGCCGCGGCCGGATCGTGGAAACAAGAACATCATTGGACCGAATTACTCGATACGCTGAGTATTCTGGGACGCTTAATGGCCAATGGAAAGTGGACTCTGTTGATTCAATTTCACAAAGACCCACTGTTGCCGGGGTTGTTGCAGGGTTTGACGGCCATTGGTAGAACGCTGTGGGAACAACATGTCCAAGAAGCACAGCATTTGCAGGGTAATCTGGAGCAGATGGAATATGGTGATGAACGAGAAGATGTTCTGCAGGCATTGTTGGAAGCGGTCGTGGCCGTGTCGGGTGATCCATGGTTGTGGTACTCGGGGGACACGGAGCAGCGAAGCTGGGCACGACAAGCAATGGGTCAATCGTTAGGACCACTCTTCGGGATATGGATACAGGGACGGATGCAATTAGCAGGTTGGGAGGAACATTATCTGTGTAGCCATGCCAATGACGATGTCGATGAAGACTTTGAATATATATCGGCTGTCCAGCTGGAAGAAGAAATGGAATTGCTATCCGTGTTGGGCCGTGTCCATGTGCAGGGATCAATCCAATCGTTATCGAGTCTCTTTCAACAAACCATTCCACAGTTGCAGGGACAATGGAACGCACCTCTCTCCGCTGCGGGTGTCTCGCCGGAACTGGCGGCTCTTTTGGAGCAAGCAAGGCTGCTGACGTTGTATATTGGACACTTGTTAACAGACGACAACAGCGGTGAAACTCCCGTCATTCCCGATACGGTCGCTATTGCCTGTCGGGAAGAGGACGAAGCCACTATACCCACGATTGTGTCGGCCATTGAGGCCTTGTTTTCCTTGGCGCAGGCGCAGGCAGTCAAACTTGCGGAAAATCCAAATGATCCACGGTTGTCGCCACTCTTGGCCAATTCCTTTTTGTGGTGGCTGAATCGCTGGGCACCCGCGTACGTCTACTCGGTCGACTACAACAGTACCGGGGACGAATCTCCCGCCAATGCCGCTAGCAAGGCCAGGAATATTGGCAATGTCTGGTCGAGCCCAGAAAAGGCACAGCAGGCCGTTTCCTTTGCGGTGACTCTGTGTTTGCACTTTCAATGTTACTGGCCACAAGAACGACCGGTACAAGAAAGTGCCGCCACCTTGTTGCTGACGCTGGCAAAAAGAGCGGCTGGGTCTAATCATCAACGGCATCCCAGCAAGATTCGATCGCTCATGGTGGCATCGCCGTCTTTTACCCAGATAATGGTCTTCCACTGCCTGACGGCTGGAACGCGACACAGCATGGGCAGATCAGAGTTGGAACGGGCTATTCACTCCAAGGCTACTGAAGCCAATGCGTCAGTCGATATGGGCATGGTCACAGGATATCAGCGGCTTCCTTACGACATCAAATCGAGGGTGTTGACGGCGCTTCTGGTGGCGTGTAGTGAACCTGAAACAGCTGCCCTGTTTCAAGATTGTTTGAAAGCTGTGCAAGACTCCTTTTCATCCCTTTTGCATGCGTTGTCGTAAGTACTGCTCCTCCCACCGAATACAAGTTGCATTGACTCGACTCGTCGTATTGCTCAACTGGTTTGGTATTTTATTGTGTTGTCCTGTCGTGTCATCTCAGGACCAAGCAAGTAAGCACAAACGACATTGATGTCAAGGAGATGACTTGTTTATGTGTGGAGATGTTCCGCGGTGTGGCTCGGGCTTCCGAAATGGCAGAACCTGCCCGTGTTCCAGTTTTCGTTACGCCCAATCTCGCCCACTTGTCGGGGCTCATGCAGTATTACGCCGAAGACCTAACAATCTGCGAACGTTTACTCCAGTTCTTTCGTGACTACACTGAGCAGTTTGTGATTATGCTCAATCGAGAACAGTGTCTGGCTTTGTTCCAGTCCTCCGCTGAACTTCTTAGAAGCTATTCGTCACACCACTGCAACAGCAAAACCCGTGTCATTGTCACCAAGTCCACTGAGGAGGCAAACTCAGAAGAGGAACAGAAGTATGGGGACATTCTTTGTGCTATTCAGCTTCTGATTCATCTCGGCACCAAGGACTTCATCGACGTTTGTGCGGATGCGACTGCGCCTGGAGTAGACTCGACCCAAGTGACTGACGTTATCTTCTTCGGTCTCCAACAAATCCTACCTCTGATGACGCGAGGACTGTTGCAAATGCCGACGCTGTGCTCTCAATACTTTTCTCTGGCGGGATTCTCGATTGAAACTTACCCGGAGAAAGCATGCGTCTTGCCATATGAGCTATTCGACGCACTCATGGAATCCTTGCTGTTTGGGATGTGCCACCATGATGCTTCGGTTGCCAAGAGCTCGTTGCAAGGGATTGCTAGCATCACACGTGAGCACATCAAATCGCAGATACTTGCCAAGCACTTATCGCAGAATCCAGGTTTCATCGACAATATCACAAGACGACTCCTTCGCGACGTTGTGTTTCAAAACAGAGTTTGGGACCGGCTGGAGTCGGCCGGGATGGCATTGTTGCCGCTTGCAGCGGTGGATGTCAACCGGTTTGCTGCTGTAGTGAACGAATTGGTTGATCAGGTACCGATTGATGACCAGAAGGCTAGATTGCAATCGGGATTTCAGTCTCTCATCCAACCTGAAGTCATCCAAAAAGTGTCAAGCGCAGGGTTGGAAGGGAGGAAGAATCGGATACGTTTCAAGAAGGACTTTGAAAACTTCTGCCACGATGTGCACTCATTCCTCATCCTAAAGTAAGCCATGCTGCATCAAAAAGATAAGTGAACAGGTTTGCTACAAAACATGTACATGTACTTCGGGCCTCCAAAGTTCTACGTTGACATATCCCACAGATAGTTTTCCATCTCGTAGCGTTTGCGATCAACCAACTGTTTTCCGGTCCCTCTCGGGCTGCCCTCCTAGCGCCACTTTCCGTGGCTTCATGAGGTCCTTTCCCCGCTCGCCCGCAGCTCCACCGATGGTCTCCAAGCCATAATCGTTCGACAGTAACCGATGGCAGCGACCTAGCGACCTCAGTTCCTCAGTTAGTTGTCAACGGTTAGTTCAAATTCGCCGGGGCGATTCTGTCGACAAGAACATGAATCGAATCATGGTGAGATAGCACGGAAACAAGAGGACGTAGATGGAGACGGATAAACCTACCGCAAGCAAGACTTTTTCAACAAGGATGTAGTACACTCTTCCTGCTTCAGTTGAAGTCAGCTCCGCCGTACACGGATCTGCGGTTTCGCAGATCAGATTTTCACACGATCCTGAGTAGACAGTCAGCAGTGTCGGTCCGCTCTCCGTGCCTTCAGTACACGTCGAGGCCACTAGGCGACCACCGTCACCCACCACTGAATACCACAGACCAGGCACGTTCACATTGGGGTTGGGTGGGTCGATTTGCGCCCCCAAGCATCTACCGTCGAAATCTGTGTTGGAGCTTCCAGAAAGAATTCTAGAAGTCACTGTGTCTCCGATTTGAAGTTCAATTGCACCTTCACAAACGTCGTTGACTGGAGGGACCGGTTCTGTGATCGTCAGTTCAAATTCTAGATCCGTGTCGGTGTCGAGAAATGCTCCCTCCACAACTAGACTTCGCACAAGCAAGAAATACATTTCGAAATCCGATGAAGCATCCCAGTCGACGGCACATCCAGCCGTGTTGTACACTTGGGCACATGTCAAGTCAGAGCAGCCGTCCCCGCCGGCATAAACCGTGACTATGAAAGGCACCGACGATTCGTCGCCCAGTTCTGCGCAGACTGATGCCCGCAGTCTGGTGTCTGTGGCTTCGATGGAATACCAGACCCCAAGCTGTTGCAACGATAAGAAGCCAGCGGGTTCTGGAAGGAGTGCCTCGACGTTAACGCCACAAGTGTCTGCTTCAGTGTCATTGGAAGCAAAGGCTGTCGTCCCTTGTAGCGTGTCTCCAACCTCCAGCTCAATGGCATTGACGCAGTTGTCGTTTACCACCAGAAAGAAGTCATCAGTTTCGTTTCCAGTATCCTGTCCATCTGAAGTTCCATCAGTGCCTGGGGGGAGTGAACCTGCAATCCAGGGACAATCTGGGAATTCACAATCCGGCCCTTCCCTCACCAACTCACTTCCATCTGCACACTGCAAGATATCACCAGGACAAGCTGCTGGTGCTATTGAGTTTTCTTCTCCTATCTGGTCATCCGTTTCATCATCAGCGAGTGTTTCTGCAGTTGTTGGGAACAAAGTGGCAGATTCAACATCAGTGCCTGGGGGGAGTGAACCTTCAATCCAGGGACAATCTGGGAATTCACAATCTGGGCCTTCCCTCACCACCTCACTTCCATCTGCACACTGCAAGATATCATCAGGACAATCAACATCAGTGCCTGGGGGGAGTGAACTTTCAATCCAGGGACAAGGTGGGAATTCACAATCTGGTCCTTCCCTCACCACCTCACTTCCATCTGCACACTGCAAGATATCATCAGGACAGACTACTGGTGCTAAGGAGTCTTCTTCTTCAATCTCTGAAGGGGCATCAGTTTCAGCATCAAAAAGTGTTCCAGCTGTGGTTGGGGCCAACGTGGCAGATGCACTTGGGCAGGGTGGGAAACTACAATCGGGTCCTTCTCGCACCACCCAACTTCCATCAGAACATTGCAAGACATCATCAGGGCAGGCCACCATTGGGATATCAGTCTCTGGAACAGCTGGAACCTGAGTTGGTACTTCGGTGTCCAACGCAACTGGAGGGTCTGTAACTAGAGATGCCCCTTCAGGGCATGGCTCAAATGAACAGTCAGGGCCCCTTCTACGCACCACAGTTCCATCACTACATGTGGCCACCTCAAGGGTGCATGCAAAAGGCACTTCAGTGGCTAGCTCATCCAATGATTGAGCCTCAGGACAAGCTTCAAATGCACAGTCGGGTCCTGTTCTTCCCACTGAGCTACCATCTGGACAGACTTTCAATTCAAGAGTACAAGCCACCGGTGCATCTGCACCTTCCTCATCTTCAGACACAACGTCTGGCTCAGCTTCTGGTTCAGGCTCTGGACAAGGCTCAAACGCACAGTCTGGTCCTGTTCTTCCCACTGAGCTACCATCTGGGCAGACTTTCAGCTCCAGAGTACAACCCACCAAAGGTGCATCTGCGGCATCTTCGTCCTCGGGCCACATCTCATCAAATGAGTCTGCAAGATGGACAATTTCATCTTCAGAATACATGGGGTTACTCTGTGCAGCAACAAATAGGTGTCAGTACTATTAAATGCAGTTCTATGGTGCATGGGCTGATTGGCCGTTGAAGAGCTCACCTGTGTTGCTCCACTCATCTGCATGAGTTTTTGTGTCTGCTCCATTAGAAAGTATTTAGTTTCTGGTGAGAAATGACGCCATCTCCAACATGGAAACAAACAGTTACGGGCAGCACAAAACCTACTTTTGCCGCTTCTTTGGCTGGCGTGCTCTTCTTTGCCTTTTTCACATCTGACATGACTTTTCCACTGGTTGATGCAGCCACCATCATATTACCCATCACCATGTTCCCTTTCAAATTTGATGTCATTTTGGGTTGCTGCCTCATACCATTGTGTGCCATCATTCTTCCATTGTTCATCGTCATCATTCCTCTGTTGTTCATCTTTGCTTCGTTCATGTTGCCTTGCATCATACCAGTTTCCGAAGGTGGAGTTTCAAATTCGGGTGTTAAATCATCGGGTGAGTCCTCCAACGGAGTTTCAGGGTATTGGTACGGTTCTTCCATGTAGTCATCTTCTGTTGGATCTTCGGTCTCCTCCTCAGGGGAGTCTTGGTCGACTGCGTTCATGGGTCCTTGAACTTTCGCTCCATTTGCCTGCATCATTCCCATCATCATCATCGTTGTCTTCGCTCCGGGCTGAGAAGGGCTATCATCAGAGGAGGAAAATTCTCCCTTCTTTGGTTCATCAGCTGAATAGGAACCCTTGTTTTCGTGGTTCTTCTTTCTGTCATTGCTTGAGTCATGACCGTCCAACTTTCGACCTGAATACCTTCGACCTCGGAGCGATTCTCTTGTTCTGGAGGCGACTCTTCTTCCCTCTGTAGTCCAAACAACGACAGCAAGCAGCACTAGAAGGCAGCACGTTTTCTTCATTGTGCTCGTTCGCATGATATGGTTAGCTTGTTCATGCCCTGTCGCCACAGTGTAGTTTGTGTTTCGCGGGGTATGAAGTGGCCAATAGTGGGCAAGATGTGACCTTGGCCCCCCAGTCGGGTAGTTTTTGGCGGAGAGCTGACTTTCAATATTGATCCGTTAGATACTTAGAACGTGCACAAGATTCGATCTCCGTTCATGCTGGCTGTTGGAGTACAGGACACAAGGAAAGCTACTTCGCAAGAGGATTTATCCCTTGTTCTATCTGTACGAGTACCGCTAGTCGCGCTGTACATCTAGCTAGAAAACCAAGCTGGAGCCGAATTAACGAGGTTAGTTAGGCAACCGGATCTTTGGGACAGGTACAGCACCCACGGCGTCTTCCACCTTGCAGCTGTGGGATCGGAACAAAGAGACATGAACTCGGTTGGCGGTCGTACCAAGCTGCTACAGTACTGTACCGGTAGCTAGAACCGTGCACCTATCCCAGGGGCTACGGTACTAGGTAGCTCTAGTAGTTAGGATATTCACCTGTGGTCAACTAAGGCTACTCGAGGCTGAGAGGACTTGACGCCATCGGTCGGCACCAGGAAATTTATTGTTGACGGATCCTTCCCAATCCGCTTTCCGCCCTCTACCATGCCTTTCTGCGCTGCCATGCTCGGCTCTCGCAATAGCACTCGAAGGGCCCCCATACCCGAAATCCCTGTGATTTGCTCGCTTTGGCGGCCGCCGGAAGACTTGATGCGGTGACATCAAAATTGCATCAATGGTTCGTCTACCCTCTAACTGGCTGGGAGGCTCCGGCTGAGCTCTAGGTGGCACTTCGTAGAGATGACGAGAAGGATCGCTCGAACGCTCAGGCTGTGTTGCTGAATGTACTTCATCAAGTCGCCCAGTAAGACCTGTGGACGATAAGAATCTGTCCATCGGTTCTTCATCCTGGGGCCAGGTTTGAATAGAGATCATTGGTGATTCATTCCTCACCGTGGGGGTGTCATGGAAAGAGGGGCGGTTCATTAGTGATCCATCCCTCTCCGGAGGGGCTTCATGGAAAGAGTGGTAAACTTCTTCGTAATGGCTTTGAGGAACCTGTGTGGCCACCGGTTCTGGGCAAACTTGTTCGTCGTATGGGATGTTATCCCGCCTGTTTTGCCACTTACGCATCACATGCACTCGATCGTAACTTTCATCAGCCTGGGAATCGGCATCACGTGCTCTCAGCCACTTCCGGAGAATTCGATTGTACGCCTCTATGGATTCGGGGGGTTGTTCTTTCTGATGAACGTCCACACGTATTGCCTCTTCTGGTAAGCTTTGGCGGTCGTTGTGAACCTCAGCGGCCCAATCGCTCGTCGTTGGAGGATCCTCTAACGTTGGTGCGTTTCCGTGTTCTCCGTCTTCGTCATCATGACCACTCGCCATTGCAGCCTGCACCGAATCATGATTGTCGACTTCCATCTTGGGGTCTACGATCCTCACACGTCTCTTTGGTTTTGTGTTTTCGGGCGGTGGGTCATCGTAGACGTCATATTCACCGTCGTCGTCGTAATCAGCGGATGTGTTGGCCCTTCCCAGAATTTGATCTACTTGTTTCATCAGCGTCTCGTACTCCATCTGTTCCCGCAAATGATCTTGCTCCAGCTGCTGAAGCAACTGCTCTCTTTCCTGGGGTGTTGGTCCAATTTTTGCCTTCACTGGTGATGATGTTGCGGAGAGCTTTGTAAGCTTGTCGTGTAAGGCTATTTTACGCAACAGCTCCTCTTCCAGATGAGCGATGAGTTGACTGTTGTCCCTATTCTTTCCCGCCATTGGCCGACTCTTCTCGTTGGCATCTTGTGGACTGACTACCGGTACGTGATTCTCTTGTGGTGCTTCTTGCTGCAGAATCAGCTGCATCGCTTCTTTGGGCTCTTCGTGGACTGCCTGCTGCGAGGTTTCTGCCCTGCCCTGGTCGTTCTCATTGACAACATTTGTCGGCTTGTTGTTTGCAGCACTCTCATCAGGTTCAATCACATCATTAGCTTCCGTCGTTTCTAGTTTCCAAACTTCCAATAGCTCATCCAATTCTTGTTCCAATAATTGTATCGAACTGGATTGCTTCTCCTCTTCTTGTTGTGGCTTTTCCTTGGTCCCTTTTTCTTTGTTGTTGTTGCTCTTGTTGGCGTTGCCGATGCCCGGTTTGTATCCCGATGCATCTACCGATATTCGTCGACTGGGATACATTTGATTTTGAGGTGCCGCACCTTCGCATTCCCGTGCGGGTGTGAGACGTTCATGGTTCACTGTTTGTGGCAACTTGGGCACCACTGGCTCCATTACTGTCGGAGGTTTCGCCGCGACCTTCTTTTTGACGTACGTTTCGGGTAACCGAGCCCCGGCTGGTTCCGAACTCGTCATGGAAGTTTCTTGACTGTTATCGTTATTGTTGTCCTGGGTAGTAGTAGTACTATTATTGGGCGGTGGTGGTGTCATGTCGAGTGCATCGTACAGCTCTGGCTGTGTCAATCCCTCGGCTTTGGCATAGGTTTCCAGATATTGTTCGCGATGTCGTTGCCGACGTCGAGATGGCAGTGCCGGCACATAGTTGGGAATAGGTTTGGCGTAGTCTTCTTCAAAACGATGACCACCCGGTTCACGGCTGCTGTCGGTTGTAATGGTGGATTTTTCTTCCTTTTTCTTTTTAATTCTTCGTTGAATGACAATGTGAGGAGGAACTTGCGGTGGTGGTGGTTTCTGCTTCTTTGCTGTCTCGACCTGAGGAGGTATATTGTGTGACGGAGGATGCTGGGGGCCATTGATCTGTTGAGGGACGCCTCCCAACGGTGGCTTGTTGTTGTTGTCATCTTGGAACGACACTTTAGGCGTGGATGGCTGATTGTTGATATTATTATTGTTCGGAGGAGCTTTGTCTTCTGACGGCTTCTCGCCAAGTTCCTCTGCTGATTCTACAGGGACACTGGACCCCTTTGCAGCATCCTCAGGTTTGCTTGGTTCCTCTACTAGCTTGGATGGTTGTTGCTTGGAGACAGATCCCTTGTTTGTATCTTCTGGTGGTGATTCTTTGTTTGGTTCTTCTTCTGGCAGGAAGCTACTCGTTACGTCAATGGGTTTGGCCATTGGTAGAATGGCAATCGGTGGCGTGCGATGCTCCGATTTCCGTTGCTCCTTCTTGGTAGGACTCTGCCAGAAAAGGGGACTCGCACCTGCTGACTTGATCAACGGGCTCCCTCTGGCATTTGCCTTTTTGATGAGGTCGCTCACTTTGCCAGGGGAAGGCACTCGGATGGGCTCTTTGGCTGGTGCAGGTGCTGGATGTGAGAGAAAGGATGCCCTCTTGATCATGGTTCGTCCACCAGTTGTATTGTTGGGTTGGGAATGGAAGGAATTCTTTCGTTGGGCGGGATGCTTGGGTGCTACTACCAGTATGGCGGGCACAGGGATTTTGGTGGTAGTAGTAGTAGGAGTGGTCTCCTTCTTGGCAGGATCGGAGGGTGTTGGCACAGATGATGAGGGCTGATTCCAAGAAGGTCCGGGTGGGGTGGATGCCTTGCTTGGTTCGCTGGGCTCATCGAAGAATTGTTCTGGCTCGCCGTCGGAAGACGACGAGTCGTCATCCTCAAAGGGTTCATCGTCGCTGCTTTCAATCATCGTACGGGTACAGCAAGTTGCAAACTAACTGCAACAAGCGGAAAGAGACAAACAATGGTGTTCAGTTCCGAGTGGGAAGAGGCGATGAGACAGGATCCAGGCAGAGGTTGAAGGCCGATTTTGGGATTCTTCTTGCGTTCATCGCAATTTTGGCTGACACGTGACCACCTTCCACGATCTTTGGTCTTTCCTCGCTCTCTGCTCTTCAGGAGCACAGCGGTAGAAGTTGACGTCGGTTGCAGGAAGGATAGTTCAGACTTCCAACTCTAGCTAGTAGGCAATGGCCACAAACAGAAACAATCGAACCACAGGTTCTACCGGTATCACATCCAAAAGAGAAAGTCCAACAGAGTCCATACCGGTAGGTGCGATAGCAAACCAACCGGCTAGAGGGCCCTTTTCCGTGAGATCCTTGTGGGTTCAGATTGTGTGTGATGATTAATGAAAGGAGCTAACTACGACCTCCTGGTAGCCTAGCAGTTAGTTCAATAGTATCTTCTAATCATACTTACGTTATGAATAGCTGCCAAGCTTTGGCTCGCTGGCTATGCTACGCTGCAAGAAGCTAACTCAAAGCTGACGAAGAACTCAACACCTGGCGCCACCGTTCATCTCGAACTTTCTGGAGGTTCTTGGGGTCCACATGGTGAGTTACGGCATACTGCTGTGGTCTCGAGGACGATGCGTAACCAACGTGATGGTGGCCTCCAGGATATGGGCTCTGGATAACGTAGCGTGGTGGTGCATGTGGAATCTCCTTGGGTAATCGAGGCGTTTGGTGGCGGTACCCACCCGAAGGGTCAGCTCTGCGATACTGGTGCGATGGGGCGTTCTGGTAGGAATGGTGGGGTTGAGCAACCACATACATCCTCCCAGACGGCGCCGGTGGCTTGTATGCAGCGGCACGGGTGGTAGGTTTAGGTGCCAAGTGGCTGTAAGACGGGGCCGTCGTTTGGTGCAAAAGTTGACTCGGACGACGAAGACTGGGTGGTTCTAACTCCTCAAGTCGATTCCGAAAGATGTCATTCTTGTTCTTGTTGTCAGAACGGGAGGCCGGAGCCTTACCATATTGAGGCCGCAGTGAGCTTTGCGAAGGTGCACTTGGTTGACTGTACTTTGATTGGGATTTTTTCGACGTGGCCCCAGGGGCCCGTCTTGCAGCTGCCACTTTTTCCGCGATTTTCTGTTGAATAATCGCCATTCGTTGTTCTGTCGGCGTTAGCGGGAGACGCATTGTACTTTTCTTGGTAGTCTTTGGTTGTTCTTGTCGCGGATTCGCAGCAACGACAGGAGGTGCAACTTGCCGTGCCCTGTCAGCATCTCGGCCTCTATAATTGTCCCGAGATCTGCTGCTGGGTGCGTATTGAGGTGGCGCTGCTTGTCGGGGATCATTCTGAGCTGAGATATAGTTGGCGGCAACTTGCGGCGGCGGGAACGAAGGTGCAGGGGGCAAACGATCTCTCTTGATTGCGTTGGATTCTTGGTCAGATCTCTGATAGTAACGAGAAATGGGCGGTGCAACTTGACGTCGCAGGGGTTTCCCATAGTCGTGCGTGAATTGTATTCCCTTCGGCTCCTTCGCACCATCCCTTTGGCGGATTGGTGCGGCTGGTGTCCACGTATGTGGGAGAGTGCGTTCTGGCACTGCCACTCTCTGCTGGGGTGGATTCGGTTGGGGTGGATGGACCCACTCCTCGGTTTGTGGTGCGGGTTCCGGTATGTTTTGTCTCAGCGGGGGCTGCTCCGGTTTGGGTGCTGCGCTCCTCACTTCACCGGAATATTGTGGTGTTCCAGTGCGCTGTCGTATTGCATGGCCGATGGCATCTTGCCTCTGCGATGGCAAGTTTAGAGCTGCCGCTCTATCAGAATATGCAAATGGGGCTCCTTGCGTATTCGATGTATTGTTTCTCGCGGGAGTAGGGCCACCAACTTCGTCTCTTGCATCCGATTCATATACCGGCTGACGGAAGTAGTCCTGGTGTACCGGGATTTCTGGCTTGGAGCTCAGAGTAGAGCCGATGCTGTATGCTGGATTCGTTGCCTGGAGAGCATCGTTGATTTTTAAGCGAAGCCCGCGAATTTCCTTTTCGGCGTGAGTGAACGACTTTTCTAACCGGTCCTTTGCTTCTCTGTGCTTAGTCAGCGCTGAGAAAGCCTGCTGCAAATCCCCTTGCAAAGACTTCTTTTCCCCGTCGATCGTCAAAATTTGCGCTTCTAGCTCCATCGCCAGCTGGGCGAGCTCGTTCAGCATCGCCTCCTTTTCCCGCAAGAGCTCATCAGAAGCATCCTTGTCGATATGCATCTGAGCGAGTTCCTTCGTGAGCTGGTCAAGCCTACGACGCAGCTTCTCGTTCTGAGATTCCAAGGACTTCTGTTCCCCGTAAATACGAGAGACCTCGTTTTCCAGATCCACAATTGTCTTGCAGACCTCTGCGAGAAGGGCCTCTTTTTCCTGCAAAACTCTCTCTGTCGCCTCCTTCTCCGCCCGCATTTGGTCCCGTTCTCTTGTAGTTTGATCTAGCTGGGCTTTCAAGTAATCGCTTTCTGCGACGATATCATCCCATTTGTGACTCAAATCCCTCATCATCGCGTCCTTGCCTCTATCCGATCCAACAGGTTGGGTGGCGTTCTGTCCTCGCCAGGAGTGGCCCCGGGCTGTCGTCGGTGCTCCGTGAAGTAACGATGCCTTCATTTCCGCCTCATTGATTGCCTTTTTGAGCGCGTCCTTGTCAGCTGCAGCCTGTCTGCTCTTTGCGACAAGGCCTTGAATCGAATCCTCCAGGTCAACGACGGATTGTGCCAAAGCGCCCGCAGGAGCTACAGCATTTTGCTGTGTCAACGTTTCTACTTGGGAATGAGTCTTGTTCAGAACTGTACGATCCGCCTCAAGGAGACCCTCAAGTCTCCTCAGGAAGCTATCAATTGATTGGCTAATCCCATCGTGACTTTCAGCAGGCTGGTTACGGGGAGGCACTGCGGCAGCTTTGGTGATATCGTTCAGCGTTCGCTCCAGTGCAGCCTTCGAAAGCATAGCATCGTTGTATTGTCGCTTCGTGCGTTCGAGTTCCAACTTCAGCATGTTAGTGTCATACGCAGGCGCGCTGCTTGCAGGTGCCATGCCGGTTATTTGGTCTCGAAGAGGCTGGGTGCTGCTCGGAGGTGCCCTGCCGCCAGTTATCTGTTCCCGAATAGATGGAGAACTGCTCGGAGGTGCAACCAGCATTCCCTGCTGGGGAATGTATTGAGTGTTTTGCGCAGGTGCCCCGGCTGTTATCTGGTCCCGAACAGGCGGGGGGCTGCTCGTCGCTCCCTGCAATGGGAGTGCACTAGAAGGAGCCTTGCTGGCTGCTGCTTCTTCCCGAGCCTTGGAAAGCGCCGCTAGTACACCCGCTTGCGATTGCGGTGCTTTCCCGGTCCCCGCACCAGCATCAAATGCCTCAATAGAGCCATCGGATTCACCACCGGAATGAACCACCAGCATGTTGTCCTTCTTCTTTTCTGCTGTTGAAACTGAAACACCTGGACACTTGTCTTTGTGCCCTCCACTTCCCCAATGCCATTTCATACAGTCATCTGAGCAATATGAAACTCCATTGCACTTGGGGCATGTCTTCATTCCTTCCGGGACAAACTCTGCCTCGGTCCCACATGCCTCACATTTGGAGGGGATGGCAGGCGGCTTTGCTGCAACCTCAGCCCGTGCCTTGGAGAGAGCCGCGAGAATCCCCTCTTTGCCTTGAGGAGCTTCCTCGTGGCCACCAAAGGCCTCTATGGAGCCATCATCACCATCGTCGGGCAGCACAACTGCTCTGTCCTTGCTCCTATCGGCAACGGAAGCACCAGGACAGCTACTCTTGTGGCCACCTGAATTCCAATCCCATTTCATGCAGTCCTCGGAGCAATACGGCACAGTTCTGCACTTAGGGCACATATGCATTCCTTCTGGCACAAACTCCTTGTCCATGCCGCAAGCCTTGCACTTGACCGGTCCATCCTTTGACCTGGAAAGTGCAGCAATGATTGCAGCTTTAGTAGGAGGAGCTCCAGCACCATCTGATTTCAGCGAGAAAGCTTCAATGGAATTGTCGTCCCTAACCTTTGCGTTGGAGATACTGTTGGTGTTTCGTTCATCATCAGACAAACCCGGACACTCTTTGCTGTGTCCTCCAACCTCCCAGTGCCACGACATGCAATCGAGAGAACAGTATGGCACCAATTTGCATCGAGGGCAGCTTCTCATGCCTTCCGACACAAACTCTTCATCCATGCCACAGGCCTTGCACTCTACGAGATCTGACTGTTGAACGATTCCTCGCGGCTTGGCCAATGATGGAGTCTTAGAGGATGACGCAGTCGCTGCCGCCGCCTCTTCTCGCGCTTTGGCCAGAGCAGCCATGATGGATTGAGGCTTTGCGTTGGCAGCGTTAGGATCAAATGCGTCTATTGATCCTTCCGAATCATGGCTGGGGGCCTGGTTGATTGTGTGCCCCCCTCCTGTTGATGTCCCCGTACATTCATCCTTGTGCCCCCCACTGTTCCAATGCCACACCATGCAGTCCTTCGAGCAATAAGGGACCTGCGAACACTTTGGACAAGTCTGCAACCCCTCAGGGACAAACTCTTTGTCCATCCCACAGGAAATACAAGCTTTCATTGTTGACATTGGAGCTGGTTTCTTTGCTGCTGCAGCAGCAGTCTGTGTTCGCGCTGCTGCAAGCGCAGCCAAAACACCTTCCTTTGACTTGGGGCCGCCTGAAGCCTCAGCATTGGGATCAAATGCAACTATGGAGCCTTCGGAATCATTCCCAGTGTGGGTTGGCTTTTGCAAGCTTCTAGTTCGTTCAGGCACGCTGACCCCACCACAGGAGTGGCTGTGCCCACCACCTTCCCAATCCCATTCCATACAATCAACAGAGCAATAGGGGACCTGAGAACACTTTGAACACATAATCATTCCATCTGGCACAAATTCCTTCTCCACACCACATGCCTTGCACTTGTCCTTTGGAATGGAGGCAGCTTGTGCCTTACTTTGTGCCTCTGCACGAGCTTTTGCAAGGGCAGCAAGAAGTCCCTCCTTGGACTCAGGTGCGCCAACTTCTTCGGGCCCTCCGAAGGCATCAATTGAGCCATCAGAATCATTGCTGCTGGTTGTCAAAGGAGCACCTTTTCGTTCAGCATCTGTGACCCCACCACAGGATTT